AGGAGGTAGCATGGGGAAAACACACTCCATTTTCTCTGGCAAGTGCATTTTTGAATGTTATTATAGGGGTCAGAGAGATTATGCCGCCTGTTGTTTCAGCAACGAACGCAGAAAGCACTGAAGGCATGTGCTAATCCTTCAGGGCCACTGTGGCTTTCACCACCTCGTGCAGAAAAAGCATTTTTCCTCTTAGTCAATCCCTTTGAGCTAGGAAGCAAATACTCAGTTGACTCAGGTGCTCTATTTTCAAAACCAAGATCCTACGAATCATCTATGACTAACGCTTCCCTTTCAAAGGAACAACGTTGATACATAAGAAGAGTGAAACCGTTAGAAATACTCTCATGCTTTTTGTATCACAAGAGCTGGTTTACACTCTTACTCTACAGAAGCAATTAAATTTTCAAAGGCAACCTATCAGGCAGCCTGCTTGTACAGAAACAGAGGTCTGCAACAGCTTTTTCAGTGGAATAACTCCAATGCTATGCAGATAACATCCTTCTCAAAGGTCCTCCAGACTTGATCTTGTCCATCCCTTCTAGCAGTTTACAAATTTCTGGACTAAGGGACAGCCCGTCAACCCTCAAAAATTCTTAGGAGTCACTAAGAGACAGCCTCGCACAACTGAAAAGATGGGTCACCAAGCTCACCATTCATTTTGACTTGTGGACCGATCCGGAGGACTGTTGTGTGTAAGAGCAAAAGCTATACGTTCCGCCACCAGACCACCCCAGTTCTGCCCCGTCTGTTCTGGTCCCCACGAGAAGGCAGGCCTGCGTCCAGAAGTGATACCAATACTGCACTGTGCCGCATGACAAGGATAGCGCCACTCTCAGATAACGAGATACCTGACAGCTAAGAAGTGCATTTCCTTTTTAGAGAAGAGTAACTTTTAATTAGACAGCAATCACCTCCACGTAAGAAAATCCAGGGCTATTACAAGCTCCAGGCTAGAGCCTCATCCAAAAATCAAGGCTTCTCTCCAGGCAGAGTGCAACGCGTGCACGGGATTAGAAGGTGGCCCAGCGAAAAATACAACTATCGCTTTGTAACACGTGACTCCCTCATCCTGTAGATGCTCAGTGGTCAAGTCACCTTCAGTAAGGGTATAAAAAGAAAGAAATCCTACCTGGATATCTGGATATTCGGATTGCAACTTCCCCTCCTTATTATAGGTATAAACTGTGAAATCTTTGGGCAGCAGTTCTCTGTAAGGAAAGGGGAGAAGGAATACAAGAGGAATGTAATGAAATGACTATGACACTACAGCAGGGCACTAAGATGATCCTAATCAGAAGTGTCACAAATGCATACATTGCAAGGAAATAAGGAAACATTCAAAAGGACACCTCCCCCCCCAAATTAACAAAGAAACCGTGCATTTCCACAGCAAAATCCAAGATATCAGAAAGGTGGAACCGTCAATGAAATCAAATCAACCACCTCACCCCGGATAAGTAAAACAAGCATCAGAATCCATTACATTGTGCTGAAAGCTTGCTTTCATGCAGAATAAAAAAAATTTATAAAAAAAAAAAATAATCTCAGCACTCAGTCTGCTGCCTATGACTTCCCTTCCCCGGTTTTGGAAGGAAGCGCATTAGGAAAGTCTCCCACGATTAAGACTGCTGACCCATACTGGTAAATCCCTGGATGCAGCGTAGCTGAATTCCCATGTTTCTGAGGGTCAGGGGCTTGGCAAGCGGCAGCTAGAGATCCCCAGGGGCCTGTACATTTAAATAGTTCTGTCGCTTTTGTCTATTATGAGGGCAGTTTTAAGAAGCAATAGCCTGACAAATAGTAACTTGCTGTTGCTGCAAGTAGCCCTTTAAAAATGAAACTCAGGACAGACAACATCTATATTGTCTGTAAGTTATGGATATTAAGGCCTTGGATATAAAGTCAGCTGCCTCATTTATTAGTATTCTTGTGCTACTGAGACAGGAAAAAAACCCTGAAACAATAAACAAAACCCAGATGAAAGCCAAAATATTTACTTGAAATATAGTTCAGTTTGTTTATTTTTAGATATGAATGGAGAGAGTCATTTCAGCGATTCCCCAGATCCCCTTTGAGCAAACTACTGCTTCCTTCACCGAAAGGGGATCACCAGGGTTGCCGGAGTTCAACAAAATTTCTGGCTGATAGCCAGGACCGTGTGACTGAATCCACTTTCGCGGCAGATTTTGCAGAGCTAGCATGGAACTGCGCTTCTCAAAGAACCTCAAGAATCGGAACTCGCATGGTACCTGCCAGCTTGTTAGTTGGACACAATAGATGGCATTTAATCATCTAAAGAAATGCATCACTTACTTGTTCTTTTCTAGATGAATCGTGTATTCTTTTCCCTCTATCTCAATAGCATACGACACCTTGTCCTGAATATAAAAAAGTGGCATTTTACTCACGTTAACGAATAAAACATCCTTTGAAATCAACAGAAGTTTGGCAGAAAAGAGTCTCTGTGAGCTCCATGACTCCTACGACTATAGCATTCAAATCACTGCCGTCACCTTCCGTGACTCAGGACTAGTCTGTGTTGGTAGCCTCTTTAGACACAGCTGTAGGGGCTGGAGACGCAGCTCATGCCAACAGCATTTAAACCACCTCCTAGAGGGAGGCAGAACTCTTGTCGATAGGAGCTGCCTCTCCCATCACGCTTCTTGTGGGTACCCCAGCGCCAGTGAGGGGAGCGGGTGCTTCTTGTGCTCCTAGACGACATCGCTGAGCCCGCAAGACTTCGCAAGGAGAAGCTCGGGATTTGCTCTGGTTCCCTGACATCCAGCAGACAAAATGACCACCACGTCCACACATTGAAATTGCCAGATACTGAGCTAATAAACTTTCCTTCTTAAATCTTGCTAGTTGCACCAGACCAGGAATAACCACACGTGGGTGAACCTGAAACCTATTTTATAATTGTCCCTACCTCCGGAACCTGGCATCCCTTCCTGTGTAACTGGGGAAAAGTCACATGAAGGAAGCTGTTTCAAAATAGCTTTGTGGTTTTCTTATTCCTTGTTTCTAAGACTTCCACAGAAAAGCTCTTAGTTACAGCTGGAAAAGGACAATGCAGTTTTATTACTGAACATTCACAGTGAGCCAGTACCTCCACAGCCTTGCGTTAGCCAAGTGCTACACACAGCAACCAGGGTCCTTAAATATGAAGTGGATAAGCTGGATCGCCTGACCACTACGTTAAATATCACAGCAGGAGTACTAGTCAGTGACTGCAATAAACTGCAAGGCATTTTTGTTTATATTAAATTCTGCCAACGTTTATAAGATTTCTGATTAAACACAGTTGGTCTAATCCAAATACTTTGAAGCATGCAGTCTTTAGATACGTGGCTACAGAATAATATAGGCTGGAAAGTACCGCTGCGGGTCATCTAATCCGACCCCCTGCTCAAAGCAGGGCCAGCGAGAGTCTCAGCCCAGGCTGCTCAGGGCCTCCTCCAGTCAGATTTTGAGCATCTCCCAGGATAATGATTCCACCAACTCATTCCAGTGCTTAACAACTCTCATTATGCAACTTTTACACCCAGATCAAAAATCCATTGCGGCAACTTGTAACCTCTGGAGCAGGGAGGTGTTTGCCGTAACTCCGCTAAAGGCAATGCTAGATGTAGTACCTTTCGTAAGGATGGATACTTGTTTGCTGCGTGTTTTGTGAGAATTTCAGCTCAGTTTTGGGTGGACCTCATTAGGAAGTAAACTGGAGGCATTTTTAAGACTGCCCAGTACCTGTACCGAGGAGACATTGGAAGCCTCTCGCCGTTCTCTTCCTAACCTCTGCGGGATTACAACTTCATAGGAAGACAACAGAGAAACCTCCTGGAAACCTAGGAAGCAGAACAGAAACACTGGCTAAAGAAACAAAGCAATCAGCAGGGTAAGGCACGAGGAAGAAAACGCTATTTCAGGAAAAGCCCCTTCCGTAGGAAGGAGGCAGCCTGTGATTCCAGTTCAGGTCTCCAACTTATCACAGGCCCCTGAAACCGGGCTGCTCAGTGCGGGCCTGCAGCGCTGCACTGGGCAGATCCCTCTGCCGCCAGACTGGCAGCGTTTCTCATGGCATACTTACGAGCTCTGCTTTTAAGAAACAACATAGCACCACATTGCCAAGGCACCACGTGCGTTTGGAGAGCTGTAAGCCAAATAGAAAAAGCCAGAGGCCCTGATGCACGCAGGAGGGCACAGAGCAAATCTCACAGCAAAGCACGCTTGGATTGCCTTGTAAAAGGCCAGAGAAAACAACACACAAACGGCAGAGAAGACACCAAATTTTCCAGAAGGTTTTAAATTGAAAGCTTTGCATTCCAATTACTGTCCTACAAGTATCTTTCTCATACACCATCGCTTTTCATCAGCGGGAATCGGAGCATTTAACAAAGCAGGTCAGCACGGAGAGAACTTGTTCAAGGACACCCAGAAAGACAGCGTGGAAACCAGGCGCCCTGTGCTGCAGGACCGCACCAGCTCGACCACGCAGCCTCTCTAGATGAGCTCCCAGGGGCTCCAGCAGTTCCCGTGCTTCTAACGGCGCGGCGGCACAAAGCCAGCCCAGCAGGGCCCAGCGTTACGTCCTCGCCCTGCACATCACAGCCAAACTCCTGACGCGAGGGCAGTACTACTCATTATGTTCTTCGAGAGCTCCTGAGGACCTTAGGAAAACAAGCGAGGTGAAGCAAACGCATGCAACAAAATGGCCTTTTGCAGATCATTTTATAAACGATTTGCATATGCAACATCAGCCAGATCCTCTGATTGAACAACCACCAAACAAAACTCTACCGTCCAAGTTTCCTTTATAAGGCACCAGTTTTGGCAAGCGACTGTTCTGTATCGGCCGTGTAATCAATAATAAATTGCACATGTAACTTACTTTTCCCATCAACAGTCTGCCTGGGCCTGGCTCGGGAGCCGCTCCCCTGGGAAGAGGGAGGTTTGTCGCCCGGGACCGCAGGCAGGATGAAGAGCAACAGTTCTACTAGCTCATGGCAATGGAATCGGTGAGCTCATCGGAGGAGCCTGAGCTTCCCGACCCAAAGGTAGGGGGGAAGGGAAGTTATCCTCCTCGCCACCGTTTATCTCCAGAAGTAATCGCCACACGTCCGGGGGGCGGCGAGGGGGTGTTTGGTTTCTGAGATCCTCCAAAAACTCTCTGAGTGGGACCAAGATGCCGCATTCATTTAAAAACCAGCCGCTTTGAGCGCACCAAAACTCACACTGCAACTCCGAAGGCGCCCGTGCCTTTGCGAGTCGCGCGAAGGCGCTGGGTGCTGGAGGCCTCCTCCATGGGAGGCCTGCTCCATCGTTTGGGAAATGGGCTGGAGCCCCCCCACAGGCTTTAAATGCCAGGGATCCCCCTGAAAGCCTCCCCAAGCCAGCACCACCAAGCTGCGGTGGCGTTCAGACCCCCGCAGATGCTTTTGCAGCCTCTCTTCCATCCCCAGCAGGCTGCCGCACAGCCTCCATGCCACCAGCATCCCCTCGGGTCAGCGTTTCCAGCGGGCGCCCCGTTGAGCGACTGCCCGAGGGAAAAAGCACGTCCGCTTCTCTGCACGCTTTCCACCGATATCCCCAAAGAGGAAGCAAAAGCAGTGCGATTGCTTTCAACGTCTCTCAGGTTACAGCACGTCTGTCCATCTGTTTGGAGGATGCAGATGCATTGCAGTGCGCCTATTTGTAATACAGCATTTTTATCACACAAGCATAGGGAGAGCCGTGTTGTTTCTCAAGAAATAACATAGCGCGCGTACCGCAGCTGAAGTTTCATTAGTTACAGTGATTGTTGGAAAAAAGGTATAAAATAAGCAGAAATAAACTTCCTGAAAATAGCCCTTATGTTCACAGGCTACAGAAAGTACAGTGTCAATACCTCCTCGGCCCGAAAACAGGGGAGGGAAGGGCTGCTTCCTTCCCTGGGATGAACCACCAAAAGTACATACTCCGGCAAATCACTTCTCTACATTTGTCATTTCCAACCACGCGTTTCACTCGTATCCGGCCCCAGGCTCTTGCACGGCGCTGCTCTGCACTTGCTACTTCCCCACGGCCGGCCAGGAGCACCGTTATCAGTGGGGGATGTGACACCGCGACACTTGGACACGGTTTCGGAGACTCTCTTAGGACACACGCTAGAGAAACAGCGGGGCACGGTTAATCTTCGCAGCGCTCGGAAAGCGGCATGCCTCCCCAAAAGCAGCTTGGAAGCAGAAGACAAAGGAGTGAATCATCGTACGAAGCTAGCAAAGCTGGGAGGGATTTCTGGGAAGAGTGCAACTGGGAGGCCTCCTCTTAGAGGAAGGGCACTAAAGGAGTGCAATTTTCAACTCCCCGAATACTCTGAATACTCCCCCTGCTTTCTGCTCTCCTTCCCTCCCTCCACTACCACCAGTTCGGGAGCTGGTTTCGGGTACAATGCCTTATTCTTCCCTTCGTTGTGGGCAAAGCTCATCAGAGGAGGAGGGCGTGTTCGTCTGGATTAACAGAGTGCTTCCTATTACAACAACCTAAAATACAAGGGTAGGAAGGCACCACCTTGCTTTCGAGTGGAACTAAAAAGAGAAAAGCAGCCTTCACATTAACAGTTTGAACTTGATGGAAATAGTTTTCCCTTTAACTTTCAGTTCTCCTTCCTCTTCTGGCAAAAACATCCTTTCAGTACAGATCAAACTGACAACAAGCCTGCTGACGTGCAGAAGAGACAAGAGTTTGTTTTGTGGGATTCTCACTGGGACAAAACCGCTCCGCAGCGGCTGAAAGCGCAGCACACCCCTTCACCGGCACCCCCAGAACAGAAGCACCCCTGACGGCAGGTATCTCCATTGCGCTGACCCTCACTTTACAGAGAGCCCATTTCCACGCTGACTGCCCCACGCAACATTTCACACATCGCTAGCAACCCTCAAAGAGGGCACCAGACTGGTTAATCAAAAATCCAATGAAAGGGACAAGTGCAACAAAGCAGAAACTAGAACATTCAAAAGACAACCCTGCCCCTAAATCTTCCTCCTGCAAAGGCTGCTTCCTTCTGAGAGACACAAAGCTTGAAAGCTAAGTCCTTAATCCAATAACACACTGGCCACCTCAAGTCCCACCTAGCACCCAGCGCTCCTGCTAGTGACCGACGCATTCAGACTTTATCTCACCCAGGGAAGAAAAATGTACTCAGCCGACCTAATTAGCACAAGGTGAAATTCTGCAAGGACGAGGCAGTTTGCAGCTATCGCAGCAGTAAAGCCAAACGCGAGGTTCCAGCCTGCTGTGAAGGCATTACCGGGTGTGTTCCTGCAACCACATCGGTATTAAGATGCTACCCTCCGGTCAAGATGGTCACGATCCATGAGAATTCATCCATGCTTTTCAGTACAAAGTAAAGGTGATTCATAGCAATCAAGGAAAGGCAGAAGTGACAGCAAAAACCAAACCCAGATACTCAGTTGTTTTCAACATAAGACGTTTGAAGATATTTATATTCTGTTTTCCTAAGACAGGCTATTTTTTGTAGCTTTTCCTCCACCTTCTTTTGAGAAACTTCACTGCAATATAGTAAGTGTGGTTCTCGAGCTCAGCACTTTGCAATAAATTTTTCAGTAGCTTGCAGGGCTCCCTGTACTCGGGTGCTTCCTGCCACTGGCCAAGGCTGTCCGAGTTGTGCTACACGTCACCCCTGAGAGCATGCTGCTTCTCGTTCGCTCCGGCGTGCAACACTAGTTGAGATTGTATTTCCATGCTGGATTGATGTGTTAAAACAACAGCTTACCCGTTCAATTTGTCTATACCATATCATAAGTACTTCCTCTAGCTGGCGAACCATGTCAGGATTATCAGCTGCTGCAGTTACTTTCTCAAAGGATTGGAGTTTAGAAAAATTAATGTAATCTATTTTTTTCAACTCAACAGTTCCTTCAATGCTTATTGTAGCCCCAAAAAAAAAAAAAAAAAAGCAATTACATCCATTATATTTATCTTGTTTCATTAAAGACTGCCTTTAATTACCGAGCATCGGAGGCAACTAGGAAAACGTGACTCATCTGCCCCTCCCCGCCCCGAATCCACAGTAGGAATTCTGTGTACGTTCCACAGCATGCGGGAGCTTGAAAGCCATGGAAACGTGTCATAGCCCTTACGGCTCTCCAGACGCTGAGGTAAGCTGCTCGCTCCCCGACAGGTAAGATCTATATTCGGCAAAAGTCAAGCTGCATCTCCTGTCTTCAGAGACCTCGGCATGCCTGCAGATCGTTGGCTCGGTTACAGAAATACAGCACACAGCTACGTCCACCCACACTAAACGGCTCACCCCAATTACCACCCTTCTTTTACCCTAACTCGTTCCCAAGCCTACGAAAGGCAAAGATATACTTTTTGATGGAAGCAAAAAAATAAAAAAAAAAAAAGAAAGAGGAGAATTTAGACTGTAGCCGATTGCACCACAAAACGAACTCATTTCATAAAAACAAGCTCATCAGCATGTGACCAGCTCAGGCTCCAGGCAGACGCTCACGAGGAACGCGCAGAACACCGCCCTTCCCGCACCGAGCGGGACTGGATTCGCGGAGACGAGGCTCAAGCCCGTCCCACCCGCAGCATCCCGGGGTGCAGCAGGGCGCTGGGCCTGCCAGCAACGGCTGCGGGGCTCCTCTTCTGCTCTGACCGCCCCTTTCGGCTCCCCCACCGCTTTCAGCGTCACAGGTGATACCAGAGGGCATCATTCTGTACAACAAGGAAAACACTGAAGTCCCTCTGATACTACCCAAAGTTGTTCTCAGCTATCCGTGAAACGCAGAGAGAGGACGCCCACTATGACCATTTACTTATATTCACCTACTTCAATTTACTGAATCCCTGAGTAAGAGTGGAAAGTTTCCTATGGAGCCAGGAAAAAAACCGAGCACCACACAGAAGTAAGGCTCTCTTTGGATTTAACCTGGGCCTGCATCCACCCTGGCATCTTTTAGCCATTTTACTCTAAACGTAAAGGCTTGACCAAAACCGTATTAAACCTAGAGCATCAGTTAGCAGCAATGAGTTTTAATCTTCTATTAGCTGTGCAGATGTCTGAGTCAAAAGAAACACATCGCTAAAGCATTAAATACACAAACCCATTAAATTAACCATTGTTATAATTGATTACAATTAATAGATGAGGTCAGCTGCACCAGTCATTCCACACTTGGGCAGCAGACTGCTCACGAGAAGAAGTGCCAAGAGCTTTACACAGCCACCTAGTCCGTCCTCCGGTTCCAGGGTAGGATCGGTTCCGCACAGAGCATCTCCAACAAGCACCCCTGACGTCCAGCAGATTTCCCTCGCTGTGCTTTAAGTAGTATCTCTAATCCCCAAAGGAGGTGGACAGTTTACTCCCCTTCTGTCTTGCTGCAAATTTTGAGATTTTCAAAGCGTGCTGTCCCACTCGCCTCTCCTTTCCTTCAACCAAGTAAAGGCCAATATCCAGCATTTCCTTGTGGAGCCTATTTCTTTGATCTCTGACCGTTCGTATTAGGCTCTACCGGCTCTACTCTCCAGTCAGACCCTACCTGTCCTGAAAAAGGACCCAAACCAGGACACAACAGTCCAGCGAGGCCCCACAAGTATCAAGGTTCACATGCTTTGTGTGGTTATGCACCTCCACAGGTTAATCCTTCTTCCATAACAGACAGCACGGCCGGTTCACTTGTCGTTTCGCCTGCTCTAACACTCCTTTCCTTTCCTGCCGACATGCTCCTGCACCCCATTTTTCACCCTCTCGTACTTGTGCAGGCAATCATTTCCACCTCAGCAGAACGCTTTGCACCCGTCCTTCCAAAGCCACATCTTTCTGCCAAACATTTCTCTCACGTGTCCACATGATCAGGAGAATCCTTTCTTTAAGGAGCCTGAATCCTATCTGACCGGAAGGGTATCAACCGCAAACTCGGTACGCATCCTCTGTATCCCGTTTTCAAAATCATAAAGGACTTTGCCAAGCAGTATCTGTTTGAGGAGAAACTTCTGTGAACTGGCTTACAGATGTCCTTCCAGAATGACGTGTAAGCACCGATACTTCAGTGTATTTCTTCAATCGATTACGTACGAGGAAAAGCATTTTTAGGTGCAGTTGACCTTTCTGCTAAGACGACAGCTGTAGTAAGGTTGACTCTTTGGATTCCTGGCAGCAAAAATCTCCTTCACTTTCACTATGTAAATATTATCCAAGTCCACTTAAAAATATTTAGAGATTTATAAAAAACACCAAGCTAACAAATCTTCTGCTGAAAATAGGAACATTTCCTATGAAGCCAGCAGTTTGAGTTCCTCCCATACCTCAAAGGCTAAGGAGTGCCTTGGTGGTGCTCCATCTCCAGAGCATCCGGGAACATCTGGCCAGCTGTTCTCCTACAGGCACTCCTCCTTGCGACTTTTCTTTCCGTCTCCTCCCTCCCTTGCTCTAAATCTTCAGACCAAGTGGGTCTCCTTGTGCCACAGTGCCTTTTTAGAAGGTAGGAAAAGATGACCAACTATCACGGCAGGAGAAGCAAATTCATCGACTTGATTTACTGCTCACCTGGAATATTTGTTTAACGTTAAAGCTGGCAAGAACGGTTAATGTAATTTCTCTTCGTATTTCACTGGGGGCGTTGGACGTTAATGAGGATATTGAGCTCTTCTATAGCAGTGTCTCCTAGAAAATTCTTACCTCCCTCTTGCTGAAATCCTGACCTATGCTGTAAGTGTTTCCTGTCTAGACTCTTACTGTTCCTTCTGCCCTTTCTAAAGCCACGCTAATCTGTCTGCAAGACAAAAGCGACTCTTGTTCCACAAAAAGGACTATCGCTCCTCTTCTCTGGTGCTGTCCCAACATCGTCTCCACCTTGGAACCGTCTTACAAGGAGAAACGGAGCAAAGCCACACTATCCTCTGATGCAAGACGATTAATCTCACCAGGACACCCTTCCTCCTGGGCCAACGGCCCTGGAGTCTCTGCCCTTCCACCTGTGACAGCCTTGCCCATGGAGAAGAGCTCCTCGCAGACAGAGCCCACTCGCTTCCTCCGTGTCGTCAGCTGCGCAGATGTCAGCTCGCTTCACGCAGGGGAGGTTCGTGGGAACGCTTCTCTTCGGAGATATCGCTATCGTTAAATTTGGCCACCAAAGGAAACCACACAATACAAATTCAATGACAGAACTCGGTGGAGTTGAGCAAATAAACTTTTTTTTTTTTTAATTTTAGCTTGAGAAAGGAGAATGATCGAGACATGCAAAAACTACAAAGTCATGTTTCAAACTTCCTTTTTCCGAAAACAAAGCACTACACGAGGCAACATTAGCTACACTGAGATTTCTTTCCTCTTTTTATTCTTCGCACAGAGGAAATAACCACAAAACCCCTCTTTACTCTGCTGAATGATTGTCCCAGATTTGTTGAAATATGGGTGAGGCAGTGCTGTGTTTTTCATGAGCTGAACAAAGGAATTATCTTAACCAAACACTGCATCTCCCCAGAAAACTCAAACCAAAGCATTTAGACACTTCAAGAATTCCTTTAAAAACGGGTGAAGCACAGCTAGAACATCCCGGGATGCGTATGACACCAAGTACTGGGGAAGAGACCAAGTAGCAAAATCCACAGTCCCTGCCTATGGCAATGCCAGGCGGTTTCTTGATGAATTTATACAGCCAAACGCTGAGGCCTCCTACGGACACAAATAGGAGGGGAAAATCTACACTGTACAAACCCCTTAAGGCTACACATCGCTATATGATTATGTTCATTCAGGAGTTTTCACTTTAGGAGTTTCCAGTAACACCCCATTTCTGCCTCATATCCCTATTTATTGGGGGGTATCCGAAGCATATACATTCCAACCCAAACGTTGGAAGTGTCTGGATAAACTGAAACAGGCGACTCGTTTCTCCCCTCTCCTTCACGCTCAGACCAGAGACAAAGAAGGTCCGTTATCCTTCATCGCAGATGTGGCATTATTAGCTGGGACACAGACTTCAGAAGGCAGCAAGAAACACTGCCATCCACCATCGGTAACTCAGGGACCTGTGCTTCCTTCCCCCCACAAGGCAGGAACTAAAATATTACTCCTCAAAACACGGACCAGCCCACTGGGAGCACAAGCATCCAATACCCAGGAGATGCGGCATTTTACACTTTGCTCCTTGGCGCTCTGGCAAGGCGGTTTCCAACACGTCGTGCTACCTCCACCCCAAGCCAGCAGCCAGCCACCTTTTCCAAGCCCGGCTTTCGTCTAGCACACAGCTCACAACCGTCAGTAACAACACACCAAGTGAGAGGCAAGAGATTCGCAGCACAGAATCCCTCAGGAGAGATACCCACCACAAAAGCACTGTCTCTCAGCATGAACCATCAATATTAGTTTTAGAGAAGATTCCTCAATTAGGAAGCCCTGACTATAAAACTACACATTAATGATAAACACAGAAGTTTAACACAGTGCATATATCCCTTCAGGAGGAGGAAAACAATGACAGAGGAGACATTTCTGTTATACATATCCATATGTAACATCAGAATCAGCATCATAAAAGCCCGTAAACAGAACAGTTTCAATTCACGAACAGCCCATAAAGGCAGCACAGCGTCAACTCGTTAAAAGCCCATAAAGAGCGCGCGGTGTCTGTTCACTGCCATCAGCGATGGCACCGTGCTGCGCCCGAGTTCTTGCCCCAGGACGCAGCCTCTGTCCTCCCCCTTGGGGGAGAGCAGCCCGCCGGGGTCCTGCCCCGTGCCCGGCTGTGCCAGCGCAGGCGGTGCCCTGGCTCCCTGACGTCAAAGGCCACCCAAACAGAGAGGGGGAAGACACAGGTCCCTGCACGTGTCCCTTGAAACGCAGTGGAACCGATGTGGGCGTTCTGTCACTTCAACACAGAAACACAACATCCTCTGGGCAGGGGAAATTACAGGGTTGTACCCAGGATCTGCTCGCACAAGTTTTTTGGGAGACCCACGAACAGGCTGCCCACCCCACCACGTTTTACAGGCTTTCCTGTACACGGATTGCCACCTGCCTAGCAAGAGCCTGGAGGAGCGTGTGGAGCAGCAGACTGCCCAGCCCGGCCCAGGAGAGCCGGAGAGCAAAGCGACCGCGTTCCCGGACACCTGCGAACCCGAGCAGGTGTAAGGGGACGCCGCCAGCTCACCAGCCGAGATTGCCTCCTCGCATTTCGGGGTTAAGACAAAAGGCCCTGCTGTCCTCTCGGCCCCTCCGCAGCACCTCTGACCACGCACAGCATTTACCAGGAGCATTTTGGCAGAGGCCGCCCTGGAGAGGGCCCAGGTTGCGTCACCACCCACAGCACCCTCCTGCCAGGCACCTTCAGACACCCGTGACCCCCGCGCCGTGACCGGGCTGCCCGCACCGGGGGAGATCCCCACGCATCGCATCGCGGGGGGCAGACGGGGACAGCTGGGCAAAGGGAAACGTGGGGGGGGGGGGGGCCCCCCACCCCACCTGCCAGCTTTCAGGGCCAGGCCGGGCCCTGGCAGCCCCGAGGAGGGGAAGGGGGCTACAAGAGCCCCTCAGCTGGCCCCAGGGCCAGGCCGGGCCCTGGCAGCCCTGGGGGTGCTGGGGA